TGCAGCTTATATTTATGTCTTTATGATGACATAGAAAACTTCGTTTATTACAATATCTAGATTAAATTAACATTGATCTTCGGAAGGTCATAGTTCCCATATCGGTAAGGAGAGCGTCGGCCATGAAGCCTTGTTTAAAGTATGAATATTTTTCCTCTCTAATAAGGTATAATCTCTGTGATGGATTCACAAAAACTATTTTATATCTGCCTTTCTGATAACATATACAAATATAATCTTTATTTGTGAATATTTGTTAATTAAGCAATATATCAGAGGGCGTGTAGGGTTCGGTGTTCAATGAACGAAAAGGACTGGATCACTGTGTACAGGAGGCTGATATGGCAGCAAACACTCTCCTGGCGACCATATTTCTTGGATAAGTCGCTCCACACAATTGTCGCTTGGACCGTCGACTTCCTATGGCGTCACCTCTCACATATTTACGTCTCATTTCGTTATGAAAATAGATTATTTCAGAGTAAAAATAGGTTTGATCATGTTCTATGTGTAGCACCAACATTATAGTAAGTAAATATGCCATATTTCTTCATTACTTACGTAATGCTAATACGATTTGGGTAGTTTTGGGCTGATTTGGGTCGATTTGGGTAATTCTATGGACCGGTTCCGGGTAGGATGGCAAACTTTGGTCAATAAGACAAGACCTCTCAAAAGAGGACAGAGGAAAGCTGAAAATGAACCTCATTGAAGCGAAATGTCTAAATGGGGATAGAAATGAAGACAGGAATTGTTGACCAATCCACACACTAGAAAATGAAGGGATGTTACGACTCTGGGTTCTTAGTTGGAAACCAGAGGTCTAAATAAGCTTTAAATAATTACTATACATTAATTGATAGTACTGGAGCATGTGAGAAGGATATTTAATTAACAATAACATTTACATGCATGGACCCTGAATTCCTAGGTACGCCTTTGGTTCCGTCTTCCTTGCCAGTCGTAAGATGAATCTTGTTTCTCACAGAACATTCAGACTAAGCTTGTTGATTATTAAATATAATATTGAACTAGTTATCAGCTATTCTTAAAACTGTTAAAGTAACTAATAATGAATGTCGGCAAAGACTTATAATGTTTATGGCTGTACGATCAGCTAGGCTCTGTTCCCGGCAGCATATTTAAGAGAGCGGAGGAGGCTGTGTTTGCACTGGGAGACATCTCCCGTCACGCAGGTTGCAGTCGCACCTCCACAGATCTCCAGTATCATTTATTGATACTGGTAATGGCTGAAAAGGGCCACCACTTACGGGCTATTCATGCCCGTGCCACCTTTTGGGTGGCTTAATCTTCATCAATCAATCAGCTGTGTTTGTCCACGGGAGACATCTCCCGTCACGCAGGGTGCAACCGCACCTCCACAGATCTCCAGTATTAGCTACTGCTACTGGTAATGGCTCAAAAGGGCCACCACTTTCGGACTATTCGTGCCCGTGCCACCTTTTGGGTGGCTTAATCTTCATCAATCATCAATCGAATAACAAACCACATTTCAAGGGAGACATCTCCCGTCACGCAGGGTGCAGTCGCACCTCCACAGATCTCCAGTATCAGCTACTGGTATTGGTAATGGCTCAAAAGGGCCACCACTTACGGGCTATTCATGCCCGTGCCACTTTTTGGGTGGCTTAATCTTCATCAACCTGTGTTTGGCTCTCTGGGTCTGGCTGTTGTGGTGTTCACTTCTTCCCTGGTGGGCTCCGTACTCCTCCTCCTTCTCCCTTTCCCTTACCTTACTCTACATTGATTCTCTAAGATACGTATAATACCGTGTGACCGTATTCTGGCGAACTGTGTAGTAATTTCTTGTGTAGCATAAGCTAGTGCTTTTATCCCTAAGATTACTCTAGGGTGTTATAGAGAAACCACGTGTGCTCAAGTGGTAGCAGGCTACCTAGAGTCATTATTAGTGTCCTTCCAAGTAGTCTTTACCCCTAGTTGCAATTGTAACCCTTGCATCCTGTCTATGTGGACCAAGGTGTTTAACAGAAGGTAGAGTGGTAAAGAGAATTATTGTATTAATGTATATAGGGGTTATTAGAGGGTTTAATAAATAAGTTAGTTTATGAGACGTATTAATTCATCCTCTTGAAGTGATGATTAGCTACTAGACAACAGACCTGTAATTTAAAACATACAATCATTAATAGGAACCTTTGTTCCTTGGGGGCCGGGGCTACTCAGTTTGGCGACGTGACAGGAAAACTAGGAAGGGAGGAGTGGCTGTGCTGGTGAAAGAACACCTGAAGGTAAGAGAATTAATATTTGAAAACCCTCGAGATATTGACATAATGGCGTTGTAGCTCTGTAATCAAGATGATAAGCTGATAATTTTAAATGCCTACAGCCCACCAGCAAGCAACACATGAACAAAGGAAGAACTGGATGACAAACCAGAGGGCCTCATAATGGTTATGAGAGAGATTATAGTAAGAGCTGACAAAGATAAATCCCGATTGCTGGTACTGGGAGACTTCAACTTTAAGGCAATAGACTGGGAGGCCTACGAGGCAAGAACAGAGGACATTTGGACAGACAGATTTGTAAACCTCATCTTGGAGACAATCATGTGTCAACACGTCAAGCAGGCCACAAGAATGAGGGAAGGGGATGTTCTGTCAGTACTGAATCTAGTATTCAACAGGAAAGAAGAGGAGGTATTTGACATCCATGCAGTACCTTCCTCCCTTGGGAAAGAGTGATCACGTCCTCTTCGACATTAAATATGCTATACGATATAATCTAGTAGGGAATGGGGGCAGTGAAAAAGTTGTTAAACTTGATTTCAAGAGAGGACGCTATGGGGAACTTGAGAATTTTTTTCATGGGTATAATTGGACAGACTTGTTGCTAGGGAAAGAAGTAAATGATAGTCCCAGTGTCCCAGGTAGTACTGGTAATATAGTCCCAGTGTCCCAGGTAGTACTGGTAATATAGTCCCAGTGTCCCAGGTAGTACTGGTGATAGTCCCAGTGCCCCTGGTAGCCCTGGTAATAGCCCCAGTGCCCCAGGTAGTCCTGGTAATAGCCCCAGTGCCCCTGGTAGCCCTGGTAATAGCCCCAGTGTCCCTGGTAGCCCTGGTAATAGCCCCAGTGCCCCAGGTAGTCCTGGTAATAGCCCCCAGTGCCCCTGGTAGTCCTGGTAATAGCCCCAGTGCCCCTGGTAATAGCCACAGTGCCCCTGGTAATCCTGGTAATAGCCCCAGTGCCCCTGGTAGCCCTGGTAATAGCCCCAGTGCCCCAGGTAGCCCTGGTAATAGCCCCAGTGCCCCAGGTAGTCCTGGTAATAGCCCCCAGTGCCCCTGGTAGTCCTGGTAATAGCCCCAGGTAGCCCTGGTAATAGCCCCAGTGCCCCAGGTAGTCCTGGTAATAGCCCCCAGTGCCCCTGGTAGTCCTGGTAATAGCCCCAGTGCCCCTGGTAGCCCTGGTAATAGCCCCAGGTAGCCCTGGTAATAGCCCCAGTGCCCCTGGTAGCCCTGGTAATAGCCCACAGTGCCCCTGGTAGCCCTGGTAATAGCCCCAGTGCCCCTGGTAGCCCTGGTAATAGCCCCAGTGCCCCAGGTAGCCCTGGTAATAGCCCCAGTGCCCCTGGTAGCCCTGGTAATAGCCCCAGTGCCCCTGGTAGCCCTGGTAATAGCCCCAGTGCCCCTGGTAGCCCTGGTAATAGCCCCAGTGCCCCTGGTAGCCCTGGTAATAGCCCCAGTGCCCCTGGTAGCCCTGGTAATAGCCCCAGTGCCCCTGGTAGTCCTGGTAATAGCCCCAGTGCCCCTGGTAGCCCTGGTAATAGCCCCAGTGCCCCTGGTAGTCCAGGTAATAGCCCCAGTGCCCCTGGTAGCCCTGGTAATAGCCCCAGTGCCCCTGGTAGCCATGGTAATAGCCCCAGTGCCCCTGGTAGTCCTGGTAATAGCCACAGTGCCCCTGGTAGTCCTAGTAATAGCCCCAGTGCCCCTGGTAGCCCTGGTAATAGCCACAGTGCCCCTGGTAGTCCTAGTAATAGCCCCAGTGCCCCTGGTAGTCCTGGTAATAGCCACAGTGCCCCTGGTAGTCCTGGTAATAGCCCCAGTGCCCCTGGTAGCCCTGGTAATAGCCACAGTGCCCCTGGTAGTCCTAGTAATAGCCCCAGTGCCCATGGTAGTCCTGGTAATAGCCACAGTGCCCCAGGTAGTCCTAGTAATAGCCCCAGTGCCCCTGGTAGCCCTGGTAATAGCCACAGTGCCCCTGGTAGTCCTAGTAATAGCCCCAGTGCCCCTGGTAGGCCTGGTAATAGCCACAGTGCCCCAGGTAGTCCTAGTAATAGCCCCAGTGCCCCTGGTAGCCCTGGTAATAGCCACAGTGCCCCTGGTAGTCCTGGTAATAGCCCCCAGTGCCCTTGGTAGCCCTGGTAATAGCCCCAGTGCCCCTGGTAGTCCTAGTAATAGCCCCCAGTGCCCCTGGTAGTCCTGGTAATAGCCCCAGTGCCCCTGGTAGCCCTGGTAATAGCCCCCAGTGCCCCTCGTAGTCTTGGTAATAGCCCCAGTGCCCCTGGTAGCCCTGGTAATAGCCCCAGTGCCCCTGGTAGTCCTAGTAATAGCCCCCAGTGCCCCTGGTAGTCCTGGTAATAGCCCCAGTGCCCCTGGTAGTCCTGGTAATAGCCCCAGTGCCCCTGGTAGTCCTAGTAATAGCCCCAGTGCCCCTGGTAGTCCTAGTAATAGCCCCAGTGCCCCAGTACACAAACCCAGCCATGTGGGGAACGTTGTTTTCATTAGCGGGCAACGTCAAGTCAGACTCGCTTGGCGGACGTACGATGCTCATACATATAATCTTGGAATTGGACTTCTTTATCCTCATTAAAGATGCATCAAGAAGCATCGATAAACTTAATGAAACAACTGGTGGTGTTGCCTGGCACGAGATTGTAGTTCTGGGTCAAGACTGCCAGAGAAAGTTAAGTATTTGACCGTCCGTGCCATGGCGCCATGCTGCCAAGCAAATGCCATCAGTGACTGTCTGAAGGTGGTGGGGGATGGACGCACGTCGTCGCCTCTCTTGTGGTTAAGGGTAAACTTTCCTAAACTTGTGTGTGGACGGCTGTGCGCCCTGGAGAAAGTGAAGGTATAGGAGACTTTCGGACGCCAGGAACCATATATATACATATATTATATATATAAGAACATAGCAAGGTAAGGTATATATATATACGAGTTTATTATATAGGATGAACTTAATGTTTTCTGTCACGTTTCCTGTCAGTTTGTTGATTGTGATGAAGGGAAGTGAAGCCGTCGACCGTGTGTGTCGTGAGGTGAACACAGCCTTGATGGGCCTGTGACTGGCACGGGGCAGTGAGCTCTAGCTCTGTGTCCCCGCCTCCTGACCTTTTTGTACCTGTTCCGTTATAACCACGATTGCGTCTTGTACCCGTGGCGTAGTGGTAAGATACTCGCCTGGCATTTAGCGAGCGTTTTGTCCTGGGTTCGTATCCCGGCCGGGGAGGATTGACTGGGCGCCAACCCTTAACTGTAGCCTCTGTTTAACCCAACAGTAAAATGGATACTTGGTTGTTAAACGATTTGGCGGGTCGTACTCCAGGGAACTTTGGATTTAAGGACTTGGCCGCCATGCGTGCTAGTACTCACCTAGTTGTGCTTGCCGGGGGTTGAGCTGTGGGTTTTAGGCTGTACGAGACTGTAAGAACTCTTGTGTAAATAAATAAATACAAAACTAGACTACTCTCATGGTCCACATCCAGTACTGACCAGCCTAATATAGGCTGCCAGTATTTTCTTGTGTTTCTTCCACTCATTAATTTATGCTTCTAACTTACACTTTGGTTATATGTCCTCTTGCTATAATTGTTGTGTATTTATTTACTTATATATACAAGAGTTGTTACTTTCTTGTTTTTTATTACCAAAATTGGGTATACAGAGCGATGTGCCACTACGTATTCTATATGAGATATTACAGTGTAAATTTGATGAATTAAACAATTGTCCAACCCATGCCCTGTTCTAAAGGGAAATAAAAATGTACCTAGTTTCATCCTCCTAGTTTCCTACCTTGTGCTTCAAACTCACACTGTATCTTGTACTACCCACTTCCCTCGGTTCTTCGCAGGGACGCAAAGCCCCGGAAGCACCTCAAGGTAACCTCAAGGTAAGGTAAGGTAAGGTCCCCAATATTAGTACTTAAGACAAATATCCTTACCAGTGTAATCACCTCTGTCAACTTGTATTGTAGTTATTGGTTGAGGTGTAGTGGGTGAGGGGAGAGGTGTAGAGGGTGAGGGGAGAGGTGTAGAGGGTGAGGGGAGGGGTGTAGTGGGAGAGGTGTAGTGGGTGAGGGGAGAGGTGTAGAGGGTGAGGGGAGAGGTGTAGTGGGTGAGGGGAGAGGTGTAGAGGGTGAGGGGAGAGGTGTAGAGGGTGAGGGGAGAGGTGTAGGGGTGAGGGGAGAGGGTGGGTGAGGGGGAGGGGAGAGAGGTGTATAGAGGGTGAGGGGAGAGGTGTAGAGGGTGAGGGGAGAGTGTAGAGGGTGAGGGGAGAGGTGTAGTGGGTGAGGGGAGAGGTGTAGTGGGTGAGGGGAGAGGTATAGAGGGTGAGGGGAGAGGTAGAGGGTGAGGGGAGAGGTGGAGAGGGTGAGGGGGAGGTTGAGGGTGAGAGAGGTATAGAGGGTGAGGGGAGAGGTGTAGAGGGTGAGGGGAGAGGTGTAGAGGGTGAGGGGAGAGGTGTAGAGGGTGAGGGGAGAGGTGTAGAGGGTGAGGGGAGAGGTGTAGAGGGTGAGGGGAGAGGTGTAGAGGGTGAGGGGAGAGGTATAGAGGGTGAGGGGAGAGGTGTAGAGGGTGAGGGGAGAGGTATAGAGGGTGAGGGGAGAGGTGTAGAGGGTGAGGGGAGAGGTATAGAGGGTGAGGGGAGAGGTATAGAGGGTGTACTAAGTATAGAGATGACTCCCACACTGTGGAGGGTCGTCTCTGAAGGAACACTCAGCCCTCCTCCTACCAACCTCCACAGTATAGTGCGTAGAGCGGCGGGCTCCTGCTCTTGGGTCCCAGCAGCCAGGCTTCCCCTGCTCCTACTCATTCTTATAATGCATCTTATTGTGCTTTTTCACGTGTACTCACCTAATTGTGCTTGCGGGGGTTGAACTCTGGCTCCTTGGTCCCGCCTCTCAACCGTCAATCAACAGGTGTACAGGTTCCTGAGCCTATTGGGCTCTACCATATCTACACTTGAAACTGTGTATGGAGTCAGCCTCCACCACATCACCCCCTAATGCATTCCATTTGTCAACCACTCTGACACTAAAAAGTTCTTTTTAATATCTCTGTGGCTCATTTGGGCACTCAGTTTCCACCTGTGTCCCCTTGTGCGTGTGCCCCTTTGTGTTAAATAGTCTGTCTTTATCCAACCCGTCCTCTTAAATTTAAGGTCACTTTTCGCTGGTATGCGCGGCGCTATGGCCAAATTTGGACGTAATTTGAAATGAAATCGACTCACAAAAGTGACGTACTTTTCCGTTTTCTGTTTGAGTCGTCCGGCCGACTCTGTAAGGTTAGAATAGATGACTTTCAATTCACGTTTTTCATAACGTTTTGAAACGTTATGAGAATTTCCTGCCCACCTAACCTATCATAGGACCCTTAACTTACTGTTGTTGAAAAAAAAATCCCAAATTTATTTTCATTTTTTTTATTTTCAAATTACGTCCAAATTCGGCCATACAGGCAAACGGCTAAAATCGACGTTATATTTAAGAGGACAGGTTGCTTTATCTACGCTATCAATTCCTCTGAGAAATAGGATAGGTCCAAGTACAGAGCCCTGTGGGACTCCACTGGTGACTTCACGCCAGTCTAAGGTCTCACCCCTCACTGTAACTCTGTGCTTCCTATTACTGAGGTACTCCCTTATCCACTGGAGCGCCCTACCAGTTACTCCTGCCTGTTTCTCCAGCTTATGCATCACCCTTTTATGGGTACTGTGTCAAAGGCTTTCCGACAGTCCAAAAAAATGCAGTCCGCCCATCCTTCTCTTTCTTGCTTAATCTTTGTCACCTGATCGTAGAATTCTATTAAGCCTGTAAGGCAAGATTTACCCTCCCTGAACCCATGTTGATGGGTTGTCACGAAGTCTCTTCTTTCCAGATGTGTTACTAGGTTTTTTCTCACGATCTTCTCCATCACCTTGCATGGTCTCTTCTTCACGCAATTGTGATTTCTGTGATCTCTGTGTGTATTGAAGTAAGGGTGAAGAGGGAGAACAGCCTATTGACATAGCTCGAGTGCAGGGGGAAGTTGTGTAAAACCCTGGTTCGTGCCTCGGAGAGGCTGCATTATCCAGTAAGTTTAGTAGAACTTCAGTTTCAACTCCTTTTGACTTTGTCGTAGCTCAGTCGATTAAGGCAGCGTCTGGGATGCTCTCGGACGCAGGTTCGAATCCTCGTCACGGCCCTTGTGGATTTGTTCATCTCTTGTAATTTCGAACCCTTCCAAGGTCGCCTGGTTTGCTGCCACCTCTCCAAGCGCGAGACCTCTCCTTGTTCTATTGTAAAGACCTTCTGGAACCTCTTTGTCGTTCTCTGTGTACCTGTCCTCGCCCACCCTAAGTTTCATCACCTGTTCCTTCACTGTTGTCTTCCTCCTGATGTGACTGTGTAGTAGCTTTGGTTCGGTCTTGGCTTTATTAGCTATATCATTTTCATACCTTTTCTCAGCTGCTCTTCTCACACTAACATACTCGTTCCTGGTTCTCTGGTATCTCTCTCTACTTTCTGGTGTTCTGTTATTACGGAAGTTCCTCCATGCCCTTTTGTTCAGCTCCTTTGCTTTCATACATGCCCTATTAAACCACGGATTCTTCTTTTGCTTCTCTGTTTTTTCCTGTCGGGCTGGGACAAACCTGCTTACAGCCTCCTGACATTTTTGGGTGACATAGTCCATCATGTCTTGTACGGACTTGGTTCCGAGTTCTGTGTCCCAATGTATATCCCATAGGAATTTATTCATCTCCTCATAGTTTCCCTTTCGGTACGCCAGCCCTTTGTTTCCCAGTTCTTTTTTGGGGGTGATAATTCCTAGCTCAACCAGGTACTCAAAGCTCAATACACTCTGATCACTCATTCCCAAGGGGGCTTCCAACTTAACTTCCCTTATATCCGACTCATTTAGGGTAAATATCAGATCAAGCAAGGCTGGTTCATCCCCTCCTCTCATTCTTGTCGGTCCCTTGACGTGTTGACTTAGAAAGTTTCTTGTTGCCACATCCAGCAGCTTAGCTCTCCATGTGTCTGGGCCTCCATGTGGGTCTCTGTTCCCCCAATCTGTCTTCCCATGGTTGAACTTCCCGTGTGTGTGTGTGTGTGTGTGTGTGTGTGTGTGTGTGTGTGTGTGTGTGTGTGTGTGTGTGTGTGTGTGTGTGTGTGTGTGTGTGTGTATGTACTCACCTATTCGTGCTTGCAGGATTGAGCATTGACTCTTGGATTCCGCCTTTCCAGCTATCGGTTGTTTACAACAATGACTCCTGTCCCATTTCCCTATCATACCTAATTTTAAAATTATGAATAGTATTTGCTTCCACAACCTGTTCCCCAAGTGCATTCCATTTTTCCACTACTCTCACGCTAAAAGAAAACTTCCTAACATCTCTGTGACTCATCTGAGTTTCCAGTTTCCACCCATGTCCCCTCGTTCTGTTATTATTACGTGTGATCTATTTTCACTTTGTCAATTCCCCTGAGTATTTTATATGTTCCTATCATATCTCCTCTCTCCCTTCTTTTCTCTAGTGTCGTAAGGTTCAGTTCCCTCAGACGTTCTTCATATCCCATCCCTCGTAACTCTGGAACAAGCCTCGTCGCAAACCTCTGAACCTTCTCCAGTTTCCTTATGTGTTTCTTCAGGTGGGGGCTCCATGATGGCGAGGCATACTCTAAGACTGGCCTCACGTAGCCAGTGTAAAGCGCCCTAAATGCCTCCTTACTTAGGTTTCTGAATGATGTTCTAATTTTCGCCAGTGTAGAGTACGCTGCTGTCGTTATCCTATTTATATGTGCCTCAGGAGTTAGATTAGGTGTCACATCCACTCCCAGGTCTCTTTCGCGCGTCGTCACAGGTAGGCAGTTCCCCTTCATTGTGTACTGTCCCTTTGGTCGTCTATCACCTGATCCCATTTCCATAACTTTACAT